GCAGCACGTAATGCGGACATGAATACATGTCCACGGTACTCAACGGTGTATACCGTGTACATGTTAACATGTTAACATGTCCACGGTACCTTAATAACTGCCACACCATTATTAACGTTTTTTATTATTTTCCAAGCTGCCTTACTTTTGTTGTTAGAATTAAGTAGATAGCGTATATTCTCGAGTTTTTGGGCTTGCAGAATGCATTTCCTTAAAATGTTTGTATATTTGTAATATATTTTCCAATTTTTAACGTGGTAGAGCCATGCTGCAGTTATATTAGTAGTATAGTTGTAGCATGAATGGGTCGGCTCGACCGGAGAAGGACCACGCTCTCACAGAATACCAGCGTGAAATAGTAGCTTAATGCTGCTGTATTTCGTATGGTGAATGTAGAGAACCGGAGACTCTTTTTACTGGAAAAAAGGCATTCCATCTTAGTCCTAACGGGTGACAACGCGTCTGCATTTTGATTTGTAATCGAGGATAGATGTAGATGTCTATGGGCCGCAGCAACCACTTACCATCAGGTGGACTGTGTGCTCGTTTGTCACCCTATCCTATAACAAAAATCTTTTTTTGTTTGCTGTCGAAACTCGATATTTCAAATACAAACGTCTTTTATTAATGCTACATTTTTAATACCCCGTGTAATCCACTTACTTTTAATAGATTTATTTGTTATTTTTACGATAATTTTAGGGAAACACAAATTATAAAATAAGGTAAGAGTGTCATGAAAGTAGTTGAAAGCCAAATTAGTATCTTCAGCCTCATATACATCAGAAAATGATAGGGTCGAAATATAGGACAGAAATTTTTTCACGTTTTCACTACTAAGGTCTCTTTTTCCTCAAACCAAAACGATTTCCTAATATGACTTTTATTTGTGTTTGCCTGAAAAGTTATTGTTTGACAAGTTTCATGATCTGATAGTGCTAAAAAGTGAATATTTGGTTGTACATTAGGAAGATTACTGGCAATCAAATCAATACACGACATTTTTCTAGTTGGTTTAAAAATGTGGTTATTTAAGTTGTGATTGTATAAAATAGAATAAAGTTCTTTAGAATGAATATCATTTTTCAAAATATCTATGTTCAAATCTCCACAAACTATAATTCTTTTATTATTTTTTCTTAGTAAGTTTATTTAGAAGTTGAGCAAATTTTTCAAAAAATAATTTTATATTAGAATTTGGAATCCAATATATACACTAGATATATACTTCGATAGTCCAAAAGGTAATTTGGAACAAAAATCCAGAATACCTTTTCGAAAAACTCACCTGGATCAAAGATATTTCCTGTCGAAGTATTCGTTCTCACGCACAAATGCTCCTCCACACACCCGCACACAAAACAGCAAGATATAGAAGTTGTTTCAAATTCACTGCAGCGAGAATTGAAATGTGACCAATGAGAAAGAAAATGTCAATAGATTGCTTCAAAGCCAAGTATAAATTGGCTCTGTTAAAAAGACAACTCGCTGCAGAGAATTTGAAACATCCCTATGTTAAATTTTTACATTTACGGGACTTTTTTGTCAAAAATTAATAAGGATACATACACACACACACACACACACACACACACACACACACACACACACACACACACACACACACACACCAAACACAAATACACACATATAAGTTCAAAGAAAGGAAAGTTTATTTTATATTTTCTATTTCTCGTGTTGTTTTTGAATCTGATGTTAGTTCATTTCGTAATGGTTGTTTTATGCATATTTTTAAATGTTTTTATTTTGTCTTTAATGTTTTTAATCTTTTTTTTGTATTTGCGATTTAATATTAATATAAAATTTTTTTTAATTAAAAAAAATTATATTGATATAATATTTAATTACTTTGTACGTAGTTTAAAATTATAAGTCAGGTAAATGGGGAGCCTGCTATTTTGGACTCCCGCACAACACCTCAGGGAGGAGGGAGTGAAAAACAGCTCTGTATGAAATTTGTATCTCGTTACAGACAAAGCTGAGTCGTCTCCTTTTGTCTCAAATAATTATAATGTTCTTTTGTTTTAACGTGAATGTAACTGTGTGTTTTAGAGGCAATAAATTTATTATTATTAATATTATTATTATTGGGGTATCTATATAATTTTCTCACCTGGTTGGGTTCTATAAATATATAATTATAAATTAAAATGAAAAGATAAATGTACATAAATATCAATAAAACAAAATAAAAAAGACGTGAGGCACTCGGGGACTGCCGCGGTAAAGCTATTGCATAGCATTTTGTATCAACTTATGCAATTATAATTATTTATTTATTTTATTTATGCAGTATTTCTTTTTCTTTGATATTAATTCAAGTTACACTTTTTGAGCGTGGTGACCGATAAGAAAACAATTTTTTTTCTTTTATTAAATAAATAAATAATAAACGCACTTTCATTCATATTCAAAACACTTTATACACAAATTTTACAAGTACAGCTATTCACTGTTGTACATAAATACCTATACACCTATATACTTTCTCATAAACAGCTGCTTATGTATTCGTCCGATTTCGGAGCAGCTCGTCTCGATTCGTGCGAGCTTCGTAGAGTCGTACAATACGTCTAGTTGCACGCACACAAACACCGTGTCGAAGACTGCCGAAAAGAAACGACGTTAGACAATGCACGGCCTTCAAGCCACACCTTCGTGCCCGTCGGAGTGAGGAGCGTGAGGTTTTTTCGTTACGGAATTTCTGGATTCGGTCCCCGCGCTCAAGGCCCGCGATAGAAGCTATGCTATAGCTTAAAAATAAATGCAAAAACTACATAAATAAATAAGATCCAAACAGATGGGAGCCCTCGGCAGGGGAGACCAGACGGCCGAGGGTTAGGGGGAAAGGGAAAGAAACCGGCGGACGATGCGGGCGGTATCGAGGAGCACCGCCTTCTGCATTTGAGCCCGGAGCGGTCCGTCACGGAGTCCCAGTCGCCTCAGATGACCCGAGAGGCTGATTGGGATTAGCCCATTCGCAGAGACGACTACAGGAACAATTTCGGTCGACACACCACCCCACATGTCGGTCACTTCGTGAGCCAGGTCCAGATATTTTGTTTGTTTATCTGTTTCGGCTTTCACGAGGTTCTCGTCATACGGAATGGTAATGTCGATCAAAAATATTCTTGACTGCGCCCGGTCCATCAGCACAATATCAGGCTTATTCGCAAGAATAGTCCTATCTGTGATGATGGCCCGGTCCCAGTAGAGCCTGGCACGGTCATTTTCGAGCACGGCTTCCGGCAAGTACTTGTGATACGGCAATTTCCGGTCCACGAGACCGTATTTCAGAGCGAGCTCCTGATGTAGAATTTTGGATACTAGGTTGTGCCTGTGCAAGTACTCAGAGTTAGAAAGCGCCGAACAACCGGAGATGACATGCCTAAGTGACTCCCCGGGATGGCGACAAGCTCGACAGACGTCGACAATGCCATCCTTTAGGATGTATCTCCGATAGTTGTTGGTCTTAATAACCTGATCCTGTATTGCACAGACAAAACCCTCGGTTTCCCCCGAAGAGGTCACCGAAACGTAGCCAGTTGAGGGAGGCGGCTGTATCTATGTGAGGCTCATGTAGAGCCCTGTAGTACCTCCCATGGAGCTCCTTCTCCTTCCATACGGTCTCCCGGTCAGAAATGCTCTGTACTGCCGGGTCTTGCCATTGCTCGTTGGCTAAGGATAGAGGGGTAAGTCCTTTATCACTACAAATGACGTCATTATAGAATGGATCATCCGATCTCGCCAGGAAGTAATGACGGAGGCTGCACACTTCGCGATTGTGCATGGTGAGCGCGCTCAGGAAGCCACGCCCACCATGCTTTCGCGGCAAGTACAGCCTCATTACCGACGATCTCGGATGATGCATCCTATGGGACGTCATTGTAGTGCGGACTTTTCTATCCAGGGCGTTAAGTTCAGTCTGACTCCGCCTGAGTATGCCAAAGGTATGAGGACAGGCATGACCCAACCGTTATATGCATGTGTCTTATTCACACCGGACATGAGGCTGTTAAGCACTTTGGTCAAGCGTGCATAAAACACGTCGCAAACTGACTGTTTCATACCAGCCTCATCGATACCGATGTTCTGTGACACACCCAGGTATCGGTATGTTTCAGCCTCGGAAAGGGCTATAAGGCTACGCCCTCAGAGTAAACAACCCTTCCATTTTAAACATGGAGTACCGCACACTTATCCGTCCCCAGCTCCATTCCAATAGAATTGCTAAATTCACAAGTGATGTTTAGCAATTCCATAAGATGGGAGCGACTGGAGGCGAATAATTTGAGGTCATCCATATAGAAAAGGTGGGTCTCTTTTGTACCTCCCTTTCGAAGCTAAAATCCCCTCCCGGAGCCCTCCAGTAAAGTACTGAGAGGGTTCAAAGAGAGGCAGAACCAGATTGGACTCAGAGAGTCGCCCTGGAATATACCCCTTCTTATCCTTATGCAGCTTTCCGCAGCCGTCATCCGCTCGCCCAGATGACAGAGGATCGTAATCCACTGCCCCATACACTGCCCGAGGAAGTCTCGAACTGTACAGTCAATCTTGTACAGCTCGAGGACCCTCTTTAGCCATGTATGGTGCACCGAGTCAAATGCCTTTCTGTAATCTATCCAAGCGGCGGAGAAGTTCCGACGGTTGCGTTTCACCACTTTGCCAATGACCGCGTCAATGAGAAGTGGTTCCTTGGTTCCACGACCGCCGCCCTGACATCCATTTTGAGCGCGCGACATCACCTGATTTGAGTCCAGGTGACGAGCGATTCTCGCGCTCAAAATGGATGTTAGTGTCTTGTATATATTCGGTAGACACGTGATGGGGCGGTATTTGCTCGGGTATGTGGCACCCTGATCTTTAGGAACCAAATGAGTGATCCCAGTAGTGAAGAGGCTTGGGAGCGACTTCTGGTTGAGAGCCTCTTGAAACTGTCGGTCGAGCACAGAGTGACACACCATGAACCCCTTCAGCCATTAGTGATGCAGCCCGTCAATCCCCGGACTTTTCCAGTTCGGGGCCCTACGGACCGCTTCAGCTACGTCATCCGGCGTTATGATGACGGGGTCCATCGGCATAATACCCGCACACTGATTCGCCACAACTTCCGTCCAAGGGCCCCCGCTGTGGTTTACGGGCTCTGACCACAGGCCGCGCCAGAATGCTACAGTGTCGGCCTGATTCGGTGCTGGACCCGTTCCACTTACCATTGGTCGCTCCAATGATTCATAGAGCCTCTTCTGATCACTCTGGAAGAGACGATTCTGGTTGAACCGTGTCGACCTCTCGATACGCTTTCCCCAAGCAGCGATTCTTTGCTTCAGATCATCTATGCGCTCCGTCAGTTTTTGCGTTATATCCGGCTGGGACAAACTGACATTTGTCCCAGCAAACGCCATCCTGACGGTGCGCATAATTCTTGGCCTGTTATTGCCTGATCTGAAGCATATCAGTCTGCCGATGAGAGCTCTAGCCTTTGCGATACGTTCCTCAATTCTTCTTCTCCATGCTGGGATAGCGCTACTATGGCCAGTAGCGCGTCCAGCCGTGGAAACCTTGGCGCCTATGATACGGCAGACTGCCAGCGCGGCGCCAAAAAGAATTGAGTCCGTCTCGCAAAGGTCCCGGCTGGCTTCCAAATAGGTCACCAGCATTGGGTTCAGAGCTCTCACGACAGCCCGATTCCGCTTGCTTAGGGCTATGCGGGGAAGTCGCGGTCGATTTTCGAGAGGCGTACTGCGCGTTTCCACAATCGCCTCTTCCAATGTACTCCTCATATGCTCTAATTCCAGTTCCTGGGCGACTGTTCCATCATCGTTTGAATCAACCACAACTGGGGTATTCACGGCGGCATCCACGTTTGCGGGTTGCTCTACCATTTGTAGCCGTAGCATACAAAAGTAGCATTCTCATCCGACGAGGGAACAGCCTCACGTCGTAGCCGTTCGAGTTCGGCGACATCAAATATATTTGAGCGCAAGATATACCGAACTCGGTCTGCCAGGTTTTGCTCTGTGACGGTTAAAGATGGCTCCAGCTCAGCAAAAAGACGATGTATCCTAGCCCGATACGCCAAACATCCAGTTTCTTTCCCTTTTTCCCTAAAGTACGCCCGCAGTGCGTTTGCATTCATTGCTTGTGACCAATGCATGCGACGTGCTCCACCAGCGGTGGGTGCCGCTTGCTGAGTCCGAGAAGACCCAGCCGACCCTCAGCCTTCTGGTGGGGATGATGGATGTGGAGGGCTGCTAGGTGACCGTGGAGCTCCTCGCGCTTGGCTGGCGGCCCGCATGCTGCCGCGTCCAGCGCCAGCTCCAGACGCGCCCCGACGACCCCCAGGCAGCGGCCCTTCGCGCACTATCTTCTTATCCATCATCCACTATTTGGGCGTCCATTAACGGGAGACGCCCAGGCCCGGCACCGTTTCGTGTGTAGCCATAAGCACGAATGGGCCTCTGCACCTAAATTCTGCCGAGGCACGGCGCTCACACCTCTCGCAAGGCGCTGACTGACTGCGTTGACGTAGCAGTTTTGTCACTTAACTGTTACGTCAGCGGGCGATGGGGTCGTCAATTCCCTACGCCTTTTTATTATTATTATTATTATTATTATACTACGCAAATACCTAGTGTAACTATCTCAATAGCACAAAATTCAAATGTATAAATTAGCGAGTTCGGTAGGTTTTTTATGAGTTGATAATCTAATTCCTTCCTAACTAATATGCAGGTGCACTGGTTGTATTTGGTTTGCATATTCCAGAAACAGAGTAAACATTGTTCCAGTTGTTTTTACATCTCTGCTTATACATTTCTCGAGCGAGCCCTCGTACTTGTTGATCTCCTAAGATTATGATTTTTGGTGTTGACGAAGTATTTTCAATTTCTTTATGGTAATTTTTTCCATTTTTGCATGTACATGGTCTGAAGTCTCTTTATCTTTGGGTTCATTTTCAATTTTGTATTCATTTGTTATACCCGTATTAGTAGGATTTATATCATTATCATCATCATTATAGCCCTTCACAAGTCCACTGCTGAACATAGGCCTCCCCCAAGTAATGCCACAAAGCACGGTCCTGGGCCACCTGCATCCATCGACTTCCTGCATGTCTTACCAGGTCGTCACTCCATCTAGGGGGGTCGCCCTACTAGTGTAGGGCGACCCCCTCTACCGGTAGGCGTAGTCGCCTACCGGTACGAGGCTGCCACTCGAGAACATTTCTTCCCCATCGATTATCGCTTCTTCGAGCTATATGGCCGGCCCATTGCCACTTCAGCTTACTAATCCATTGGACTATGTCGGTCACTCTGGTTTTACTGCGGATATCCTCATTTCTGAGTTTATCACGTAGAGAAACTCCGAGCATAACCCTCTCCATAGCTCGCTGAGTGACCTTGAGCGTCCTCATACGGCCAGCAGTGAAGGACCACGTCTCTGATCCGTAAGTTATCACTGGCAACAGGCACTGGTTGTACACTTTAGTTTTCAGAGATTGAGGTATACCTGACGAGAAGATGTGTCGTAATTTCCCGAACGCTGCCCAGCCAAGTTGAATCCGTCGATTGACCTCTCGGTCGAAGTTGGACTTACCTAGTCGGACTATTTAACTCTGGTAAACGTACTCGTCAACAACTTCGAGCATAGTGCTCCCGACAACTACCGGCATAGGTGTGACATGGACATTAAACATGATCTTTGTTTTGTGCATGTTCATCTTAACACCTATCCGTTGGGAGACACAATTGAGGACATTGAGCATAGTGCTAAGGTCCTTCAGCGATTCTGCCATAAGGACTATATCATCGGCAAATCGAAGGTGAGTGATGTACTCGCCATTGATGTTAATACCGTATCCTTTCCAGTCCAGTAGCTTGAAAACGTCTTCCAACGCAGCGGTGAAGAGTTTCGGGGATATAACGTCACCCTGTCTTACACCTCTCTGCAGTTGGATAGGTTTCGAACTCTGGTTCTGTACTCGGATAGCCATCGTAGCCCTACTGTGCAAACACTTTACAACTTCGATATACCAACAGTCAACTTGGCACCGCTGAAGGGACTGTAGCACCGCCCAAATTTCGACGGAATCAAAGGCTTTCTCATAACCCTGGTTCCGCTCGATCGCTTCTTTAATATGAGCAGTATTAAAGTTGCGTAAATCTCGCCGCACGCATTTGGAGATCTATCTGTTCAGTTGCCTGTATGCTGTCAAATCTTTTGACGATTGCAGCCTCATCTCTCGTCTAACAGCCATGAGATTAAGAGTGTGATCGGAGAGTTTTTGTGTTCTTCCGCGGCGGGTCTTGCAGAACTTAGCTTCGACTGCATGGACAGTTTCCACGAGCTTGTCATTCATATCATCCACTGCATTGCAATCTTCTAGGTACTGAAAGCGGTTATGAAACTCGAGCTGAAAAGTCTCGGGATTTTGGATCAGAGCACGAGGGGGACGGAGCGTTGACTTCATTAGATGAGACCTCTCCAACTTAACGTTTAGGTTCAGTGTGCCTCTACCCATTCGGTGATCGCTGCCAGTTTTCACCCTTGCGATCACTGAGACATCACTGAACAGTTGGTATCTGGTCGTCATAATGAAGTCAATCTCATTTTTTGTCGAACCGTCGGGGCTCGACCAGGTCCACTTCCTGTGGGGCCGATTCTGGAAGAAAGAGTTCATCATAAAGTGTCCCTCTTTCTCCATAAAGTCAGCCAGCTGCTGGCCCCTACGGTTCCGTTGCCCTACTCCAAATTTCCATAACTTCAGCTCACCGCCTTCTCTTGTGCCTAGTTTTGCGTTTAAGTCTCCCATCAACACCGTGTAGTGGGTTTTGGAGGAATGCATGGCTCTAGAAATATCCTCATACATTTCCTCCACCTCCTCATCGGGATGTGCCGAGGTAGGTGCGTAGACCTGTATGACCTTCAGCGAATACCGTTTGGTGATTCTGAGTATCAGGTACGCGACCCTCGTCGACACACTCCCAATCTTTACAACGTTGTTGACGAGAGACTTGTGGACGATAAATCCGACACCTCCTTGGGACAGATGGTCGCCCTCCCAGTGATAGAACAAGTTGCCGGATTCGAGAATCACCGTGTCCTCCCCCTCTCTTCGGACCTCAGATAATCCAATAATATGCCAGCGCAACTTGTCTACCTCTTCTTCCAGCTCCAGTATCTTCTCGTCAGTCCTCAGGTTGCGTGCGTTATACGTTGCCAGGTCGAGTCGTCGTAGGTGGCAACCGAACCTCCACCGGAGATTCTTAGCACCCCCTGCCCCGCCGTTACCATGGTCGCCAACGTAGCCAGGAATAGCGGGGTCGCCGGGGACTGGGGGTCGTTAATTTGCGTCGTTACTCATGGGGGATATTTGCCATAGTTGCCACACTTGGCGAGCAGGTTGGCAACCGCAGTTTTTTATTATGTTATTGTTGTTATTAGGAAGATGCTGCTGCCCATCTCCTTTCTGTGTCCCTCTGTCGCCTCTTACGAAACCCACGGGAAGATATGGGGTAGTGTATATTCTCAACCGCCACTACACGGCACTTAGTGGTGATATTCTAGGCGTCTTAGTTTGCAAATAAATCATTTTTTCCTTAATGGAATAGGTGTTCGCTTTGCAATGGGTGTGCAAGTAATCTTACCATCACCAGTAAGGTTTTTCAAGCAGTGTATAGTTTTGTCTTTCTCTTGTAATTTTATTAAATAATTGAATATGCGAATTTAGGTCTGCAATTTCATTGTGTGCTGATTCTAGTTCCGTTTTTACTGAGGACAATTGTAGGCTTAACTCATCGACAGTTGATTTATTTAGGGCGTGGATTATGTGGTCACTGTGACCAGTTGTATCAAACAGAGAGTAATTTGTTAACGACTGACTTATTTGGAAGTTCTCAGGGTCATCAGAGAAAGTTCTCTTTCGTCTTCTCATTGTAATGTTTTCCATAATTTTATTCGATTTTATTCAATGTCAATTATCTAAGAACTTTGCAATGTAAAATAAAAAGTCAAACAAATATCAAATTAAAAAAATAATTAAATAAATAACAGAAGTAGTGTTCAAAATTATACAAAGTATAAACAAGAAATAAAAGGTAAATTAAGTGAAATTAAGACTTAAACATAAATTTTAAATTACTACAACATTAAACAACTAGTAAAAACTATGTCTGATAAAAAAGTCTATAAACTAATTAGGCTGGTTTAGAACTCAGATTTCTTGAAATCGTTCGGTAACCATATGTGTTACAATCCATTAATCCAATCTAGTACATAATATTGAAGTCAAAATAACGTTCTAGTTATCAAAACTTTCGTTAAACGTAGAAATAATGAGTTTATTTGAAATTTAGTAACACCGTATTTACAATATTATTACAATTAACACAACAATCATTTTACACAAATTTTCCAATTTCAAATTTTGTTTTCACTCACAGTTTTAAAAAATGTTAATAAAGTTTTGGTAAGTTTGTAATTAATTGTTTTTTGAACACTTGAAAGTTGTTTATAACCACGTTGTTTTAGAATGATATTTAAAAAATTTGCTTAATTGTAATGCAAAATAACACTCTCACTTCTTTACTGATATGTTTACGTCGCACTCTTAAATAAGGAAGAAATTGAAAAAGGCTGAATCTGTAATCCGTCAAATAAATTATTTTTATTTTCATTACCAATATTTCCTTCAACCATTAATGGTATGCTTAAAGTAGTCGATTAGCGGATTCGTCATCACAAACTTGAGTTCGCGGTCCGCACTCTACCATTACGCTACTGTCGCTTTATTAATTCGCTGTTATTCTCTTCACGGTTGAGATCTATTTATACAACTACCGCACGTATTGTGACGTTGCACTTGCAGCTACGTGGCGCGCAATATGCGACGATATGCACATTCATAAATCTAAATCGTTTCGGAAGAACAAAGCATTCGTCTCTCGTAGTAGAAGAGGCAACAGAGCGTTACAGTATAACTCTGTAGGGTTGGTATCTGTTCGAGACGGAAGCATACATTTATTAAAATTTACTTAAACTATTAAAGTCCACTGCTGAACACAGGCCTCTCACATATATTGCTGCATGGTGGGGGGGGGGGGGGATATTTGTTATAGTCATTGCCACGCTTGACGATTAGGTAAGTAACTGCAGATTCTTATTTTTAGTCGTTATTAGGAAGACGCTGCTGCCCATCTCCTGATTTGTTTCCCTCTGTCGCGACTAACGACATCTACGGTATTAATATTCACTGATATTTACTGATTCGAATAAACAATAGTTGACTTATAGTATTTATTGGAATTTAATTTAAAATGAATGTGTATTTTAAATATTTTAATTATATATTAATTAACATTAAAACTCTATCTTAAACTGCTACCCCCCTTACAGGGAGTTATATACTCCGTTAATATATTATACCAACATTGTACTTTGTGACATGTAATAAAAAAATTATTAATTACTGAGTAGTGGATATTCTTACACCGCCACAACACGGTAAAATGAAATTTAATAAGAACGAAATTAATTTTTACGCCATCTCGCTAAAGTAGTTAAACACATTATTCTGAAAACAATTATTACTGCTTCGTTTTAGCATTACTTATTATATGATATTTAACCTTTAAGTAGTGACGTGGGTGTCTCACAGACGTCCTCGATGCAAAAATCAGTCTCGTGGCGTTAATTTTTTAAAGACGCTCCCGCCCCCTCCCGCTACCTTCGGGTTTCGGTGATGTGATCGGTCAGTCGAGTGCTCGCGCTCGTAGCAGCAACACCTGTACCTGTACGACCGTTTGGTGTCCCTGAGACGTGAAGTCAGTATTTGCGTAAATGATTTATTAGACGTCACTACAGTATTAGTGTATTTTTTTCTAAGTGTCTCTTATTCGTCACCTCACTGTGTACGTTATTATTTTAGATGGATAAACCTGGACCTTCAGGAAATAAGCGAAAGCGAGTAGCTCTAAATACTTCGACAAAAGAAAAGATCTTAAGTCAGTGGATAGAGGCTGAGTTGGAGCGAGAGTTCAGTGTTGTGGACGATGAAGAAGTGGATCCAGATTTCTGTTTGCACAGTGATCATGACTCGGCTTCAGAACAATCTGAGGATGAAGAAACTCAATCTCAACGACAAAGATCACCCCGCAGTTCAGTTGCGATGCAAGATTCAGGTCTATCTTCAATACAAGATAATATACACACAGAATCCCAAAGATACTACATAGGTAGTAATGGTTTTAAATGGTCAAGCGATGAACCAGTGATGCGTAACTGTCGTTCACTAAGCCACAACTTGGCTGACATATCTATATAACAGCCTAGAGCATTCACCAACCTAGAAACCTTGTGGAGACATTTTATGGATGACGATATTACTGACAAAATAAATTGAATGTATCAACAAAAAAACTCGCCCAGATACGGGTAACATATAAAAATCAGGAAAAATTTGAGCCTCGGAACACGGACGCAGAAGAAATGAAAGGCTTTCTTCGGGTTATTATTTTACTCATCTGTCTTCAAATCTAACTATGAGAATGCCAAATACACTCGTATCTTAGCTACTTAGGTTCAGGCCGAGAGATATTTCGTGCAGTTATGTCTCAGTATAGATTTCTTACACTTTTGAACTGCATTCGCTTTGGCGATGTAGAAACCAGACAGCAACGACTAGAGACTGACAAACTGGTAGCAATTTCGGATATACTTGAAAGTTTATATCTAATTGCAAAAAAAGTTTATGTACCCGGTGCTTATGCTTATGCGTAGATGACATGCTTGTTCCCTTTAGAGACCGATGCAAGTTCATAATTTACATGCCCAAAAAACGAGCAAAATACGGACTTAAAATTTTGTTAGTTTGTGATGCTGAGACATTTTATGTCTATAATGCTTATATCTACTGTGGTAAGGAATTCGACGGTTTAGGTTTACCAGAAGATGACAAAAGTTTGCAATTCCTACACAGTCTGTTTTGCGACTTTGTAAAGACTTTGAGAACACCAATCGTAACATCACTGCTGACAACTGGTTCAGCTCTTATGAGCTAATGGAGCAGCTAAAACAGAGAGGTTTGACTTATGTTGGAACTCTAAAAAAAATAAACGTCACATTCCACCTGAATTTCAAGCGTCCAAAACAAGAGAACCTGAAACAGCATTGCATGGATTTACAAAAGACTTTACTTTGGTTTCTTATGTTCCCAAGAAATCTAAAGCAGTTTTACTGATTTCGTCCATGCATCACACGTCCGAAATTGATCCCGTTAGCAAGAAACCGGTTATCATAATGGAGTATAATAAGACAAAGGGTGAGGTTGATGAAGTTGAAAAAAAATGTTCGAACTATTCCTGTAGCCGCCGCACTCGCAGATGGCCTTTAGCATTATTTTTCAGATTGCTAGACTTGAGCGGAGTGAATGCCTTTGTGCTTTATAGGCAGTGTGCTGACGTATTAGACATATCAAGAGGACGATTCTTACAGGATCTTGCCCGAGAATTAGTTTTACCACATTTACAACGACGAATCTACAATGAACTTCTTCCAAGAGAGCTAAGACTGACAATGAAACGAATTCTTGGCGAAGATTTACCGCCAGAACCTAGCCGCATTCAGTCAGCTGTTGGTGACAATGACAAAAAGACTTGTAAGGTGTGTCCAGCAAGGCTGAAGCGACGCACAAGGTACAAATGCGTTGCATGTCATAAGCCTATATGCATAGGCTGTTCCAAAACAATCTGCAGCGACTGTACTGACTGAGACTGAAATGAGAAGTCTGTTTCTGTGGTAGTTCCTATATTATTTTAGTAATTAAGTTGAAGAAGTAAGAAATTTTATTTTTTGTTAAAAAATAAGTCTGTTTGTATATGTATGAAATAATCATAACACTTAATAAGTACGTCTTTTATAGAATGTGATTTTTTCGTAACTTTTGCCAAATGTCCTAATAAATGTTGATTAATGCTTAAATTGGGTTTAATTTTAGTCTATATCATTAAAAAGAGGGTTTTTATTTTGATTTTATACAAAAAATTTTTAATTAATAATTAAGTTCATACTATTGACATAAATTGCGTAGACGTCTATAAAACGTCACATCACCATTTATGAGTCATCCAACCCACATCACTACTTAAAGGTTAAAAAATCTCTTGGAAACAGAAAGTCTTGTTCCAGTAGTAAAACGAGGCTATAACTAAAGACCGACGCTTAAGTTTATTTTAAAACATGAAAGAAGATATCATAATCGTACCGGAATTTATACCGCTGGTGAGAGAAAGTTTCACAAAAACGTCCTGTTGATGATGATGGCCATGATTAATTAGCATAAAGTTGCATGTTGGACTTACAAATTGCTGTAATTAATGAAACAAAGCTGAGAGAGGTATGTTAGATCAGAGACTAAGCGCTCGATATAAAAATCACAGTAAAAATAACCTCCGGGCTCAGTACCCGCCGGCACCAATGAAATTGAAAATTGCGATTTTAAGTCTTAATTTTATTATGTGCTCAATATTTAAGGAATTTTGAGAACAAGTCAAATCTACGAACAGTAAATTAAAACAGTACGTCGGACTATTTTAATAGAAAAAGGGTCACAAACGAGGACACTGTTCACCTGACGGTAAATGGATTCCGGTTCTCTACACTAACTATACGAAACCACAGTAGCATAAAGCTGCTATTTTGCGCTGGTGTACTACGAGAATGCGATCCCATCCCGTTTCAACCAATCAGCTACAGCGTGGCTCTATTAAATATAAACTTATTGCTCTTTAATCCTAACTGTCCTGTTAGAGGTTTTTTTTGCGAACCAGCGGTAAATTAAAAAAGTGACGTTCAATAAGTATTGTTATAATCTACTCATCGTTACTGATCATGAGGTCTCGGATTGGAATCAGTTATTGAGTTTTTATTGTCATTAAAATTCTCAGTAGCAGCCCAGAGTCAGGAAGTGTACGTTGTTAACCCCTCTCTCGGAAAGCACGTAAAGCCGGTGTCCCTTCACCTTATCTTACTCCGGTCATCTCGGATTACTGTCCCATCGGACTAAGAGAATGAGGGAATAGAGAGTGCACCTACATATGTTTGGGCATACACTCGGGCATTATAATCCTGTCATGTGTTGATAGCTATTCTCCGTTGAGACTGACTACCGTTGTCGAAATTCGGTCTGGAGGACATAATTCATAATGCTCTCAGAAATTAGTACTTGTGCCAGTGGGACAAATAAATCTGTAAACTAACTCGACATTAATGAAACAAAAATTAAAGTTTATACAAATTTCGCACGCCCTGCTATGTCTTAAACGTAAGCTTGAGATACGTAACGTCAGTATATTGCATCACTTCCAGCAAACACATTATGTAGTGAAAAGTGTAGAATATTTCGTCTTCTCGTTTACTATGAGTAATATAAACGTAAGGTATCGCGTATTTATTATATAATTCAAGATTCAATATTATTATTCAATCAATTCTTTTGAGATCATAGTTAATCGATTATTACATTTTTAATTTTTTTCCAATTTAGATTTTATATGTACTAAAGGTTGCAAACGAGCTGGCAGCTCAGCTGATGGTGAGTGAATACTGCCGCCAATGAACAATCGCAACGTCAGGGAAATTGCAGATGAGTTCCCGGCTTTTTAAATAAAGTTTAGGCCCTTAGAAAAATAATCTTTTTTATATAAAAGGAAGCAAACGAGCATGCGGCTCACCAGGGAACACCAGGGAAGTTGCAGGTGCGTGCGTTTTTAAAAAGGAGTAAGCTCTTTTTCTGAAAAGGTCCCTAAGTCTTATCAATCCGTAAAAATCGTCAGTGGTAAACAATTTCACAGAGAAGTTTTACTAGGCAGAAAACTCATAGTGTGGGTAAACGTGATGGACCGCCAATTATACAAACGGTGAGGATGGTACCGTGAATTTTGACGCGATGTGCGTTCGTGAAATTTGGCGGCTGGAATAATTCCGAACAATTCCTCAGAACACTCCCTGTGGTAGATGCAATAGAAAATGCGAAGAGATGCAACATTACTATGCTGCGCTAGTGAATCGAGCCGATCAGAAAGAACTCGGTCGTCGACGATTCAAAGCTCTGCGCTAGATGCGGCCTAGTGTGCCCCGGGGTGACAGGGGTGCCTCGGCCCAGAGATGAGAATAGTATTCCTTGTGGGGCTGAACTTGCGCTTTGTAAAGTTGTGCTGCTGAGCATGCCAAGCTTTTTTAGAGGCCAATTTGGCCTTCCCCTCCAATTGATCACGAAACTGCACGCTATTCGATATGCCGACGCCGAGGATTCCGATGCTAGCTGTGGCAGCAGTGCATTGAAACTGAGAAGATTCAACAAAGGGGTTCTTTTTAGTGGTAACAGCGCAAACTTTTGTCTTCTGTGGATTGAATTGGACTAGATTTAGTCGCTCCCAGGTCGGAGTTTTCGTTCAACAAAGTCTCGACTTTAGACACAAGTTTGTCCCGGTACTCGGTGACGTTTTGCCGAGAAATATTAACACGACTGGTGAATAAAGCATCACCACTGCTGTCGCCTGTATAGTAGTGAATTTTACCAGTTTGCAACATATCGTTGATATGCAGAAGAAACAGCGTTAATGAAAGCATGCAGCCTTTAGGAACACCAGCGTTAATAGGCTTGTAATTAGAGTATGCACCATCAACTATGACCTTGATGCTTCGATCAGTAAGAAAACGCAAGGAAGCTTCGAAAGAAGGGCTTTGTGCCAGACCCGATTGAAGACCTTCGCTATGTACAAATTAACGTCCAAAGCATCCCCCTTGAAGTCTACTGCCTCCGCCCATCTTTGAGTCAGATAGAACAGAGGATATCCAGCTGATCGACTACGATGGAAACCATATTGGCGGTCACTAATCAGCTGGTGATTCTCAAGGTACCTCATGAGCTGGTAGTTTACAATAGACTCCATTATTTTGGAGAACAAGGAGGTAATGGCGATAGGCCTTTAGTTGGATTGGTTTGAGCGGTCGCCTTTTTAGGAATCGGGTGGACCAAAGCTGTTTCCAAGAATTTTGGAGTACTCCTTGGGATTAGGAGTTCAGGAAAATATGCTTTAAAACCGGTGCCAACTCCGGAGTACAGGTCTTCAGCACAATGGGAAGGATTCCATCAGGTTTGCTCAACTTTCTGACGTCCAGGGAGAAGAATACTTTGCGAACCGAATGTTGTATAAGCCGCACATCTACAATGGAGCATTCGAACCGCGGGATGGTTGGCGATGTGTTCCTCTTTTATTGAGAGTCGAGTTGGATGCAAAAAAAAGAGATTAACAGATCGGCTAC